TACCACTACTTCTTTCTTCATAATATAATTAAAATTAAAATAATCTTTGTAAAAGCTCGTAACGCTTTTATCGAAAGCTAGAAATTTAGGGCTGTTCAGAACAAACGAGTAACGTTATTGGTCACATCGTTGCATAACCATTTTTTAAAATAATATCAAGTGACGGGACGAACAAGTCGTTCATCTGAGAGTAAGCTACACGCCTGTGTATAAAAGTTACAGTGCCACTCAGAATATTAAATGGCAAAGATCTGAGGCACACTGACACTGCGCTCGTTCGCGTCACCCTGAGACATAAGTTGACAAGTCCCATGTGCCAGCAATTTCACCAGCTTACCCTTCAAAATCGGAACACAGTTATGCTGGATATGCAATAATTTCTAGAATAGTAACAGCGTGTACTGTTACGTGCTTACTACTTTTTCACAGAGTATAAAGAACGTACTGACATATATATACCTACTTAATTTTTTTATGCGGTAAGTACTGGCCATGAAAGGGTAAAGGTAGTCATCATACTTTAGGCTGTCTAACAGATTACCTGCATGTTTGCAGTTTTTTACTCTTTATTTAAGGGCTTTGATCGTTATTGAATATGTAAGCCCCATTAGAAAACGTTAGCTCAAGAAAACACTTAATAAAATAAAGACATTACAGACAAACCAAACCAAACATTTATATAAAATCTCCGCGGCACTACATTTTGATTCCGACAAAACAGATTAAAACCACCCAACATTAAATGTACGGAAACCAGCCTGTGCAAATAACCGCGCCTTGATAGGTTTCGTCCAAACACACTACATAAGCAAATGATGCACATCCTCAGGAATCCAACATCTCGCAATTCGGTGAGTTCACCCTCCGCATCAAATACAAAAATTTGTTTAATGGAACGAGTCCGGATCGAAGCCTATGTTTACAATTAATGCGTGAAGTCGTAATCGACTCTATGCAGTCGAGACCATTGCAAACATGCAGTCAATCTGTTACTAGCCTTATTGACACAGAATTGCACTAAGGCCGGCTGGCGTTAGTCCATAGAGCACCCGTGTGCAATCGATACCCTGGCGCTCTTTATCTGTAGGGCTAGCACGATACTATATAAAGATACTGAAATCGCATCAAACCCCCTTTGTTCCTTTTTCGTGCCTATTACTGTAGGTTCACCGTGTTACACGTGGACATTATTAATGTATTTATAATAATAATGTAATTTAATTTAATGTATTGTAAATTGTTCTCATTGTTTCAATTAACTTAGCTCATAAGATTTTTACTAACAAATATGGACTAATTGGAATGAGAACTCTTTAAAACTTGCATCTTTTCACTGTATATAATTGAATAGTAGTAGTCATATTTAGATACCTTCAATGAACACTACTTATTTTTGTAAACAGCTATTTTTGCAAACAGCCATACTTATAGTATTATACCCCCGAATTTTGTGAAAAAAAAAAATAAAGAAACATAAAGCAAAATTCGAAAAAAAAAGTTAATGTTATGGAAAATTTTAAATAATTATTTCTTTTTTTCCAAATGGTTGCGCCTCTGCATCTGTTATGTAACAATGTGAGATATTATATTGTCATAATTTCACAAATATCAGGAACACGGTGGCGCGTTTAAGGAGACTTTTTTTTAGCACAAATACGAATACGTTATTTTTTGAAAGTCACTATGTTCTGTGCACAGAATTTTATTGAAAATTTTCAGTTCAATACTTAGCACAGACAATAGGTTCAAAATTGAAAAGAGCGCCTTGGTTATATGGTTTATGAAATTCTAATTCGTATATTAAGCCACAGGAGTCGTGTATGATGGAGAAAAATAATGGAAAAGACAGGACTAATAAATATTATTGTCATGGGCTCAAGACGGTACATCCCTAATAATCTCGTGAAAATTAGCTTTCAATTCGGATTCGATTAGTATTCGCTCCTACATAACAAAATTCACTCGTCCTTTTTAACAAAAACATAGAAAGTTCTAAATTCGACTTTTTGGTTTAGAAATCAGAAACATTTATTGTATGAATTGGTAAAATACAGGTGTTACTTACAAGTGGTTAATCAGGCGTCAAATTTAATGTCAAAAATTAAAATTTTAATTAGGATAATTATACAATTGTCAAATATTTGATGTTTTTTACAATCGTTAAAATTGTAAATTAACCATTTTTTTAAACAAGCTTTAAATTTATCACCATATAAACATTAATTTTCCATTGGAAGTCTGCTATTAATTCTGATTGCTATTACATAGGTGTTGCGGTCAAAGACCGTGCTGTTTATTTTAGGGAGGACAAGACGGTCCTTGTTTCTGACGTTAACGGAGTGAAGGTACATTAGATATTCTAGTAAAGAAGTTACTGTGATTACGTACAAAAAGACATATTTCCAAAATATATATTCCTGTTAAGTCAGTTAAGTCAGTGCAGATCTTAGAGAATAATCACTGGGTTTACTACAGATTATGCGTAAGCATCGTTTTTGTATTTTGACATCGCATAAAGCATCGTTTTTGAGACTGCCTCCGTGGCCGAACGGTTACCATGCCGGACTGCCACGCAGAGGTCCCAGGTTCGATTCCCGGGCCGGGGGAAATGTTTGTATGGCCTACATTTATTTCTCTCGTGAGTTTGGGTGTAATTTGTGGTTGTCTATGTGTGTGTCCATGGCACCCGCGACACAGGGTTTCCCTAGTGCGGGGCTATGTTGAGTGTGTGCGTTATTGTGCGTATTGTGAATATTTTAATCGCATTGACAGAGTTTCCCCAAAAAACGTTCACGTTCCCGTAAAATGCGTTTTTTGCAGCTTCAAACGACGCTACATCGACCAATACAGATAACGCGTAGCAATAACTACAGTTTGTTATTGAGCACATCTACGTGATGTTTCCAATTAAATAAGTTAAATAAGTTTTTATCTATAGTAATACCAAGAAATTTAGTATTATTTACCTCATGAATAACGTAATTTTCACAAGTTATGTGTAAATCTAAGTAATTTTTTTTGTAATTACCAAACTGCATATATCTTGTTGCAGAATTATTTATTTTTAAGTTTAGTGATTTAAGCCTGGTAGTAAGACCGTTCAATGATTGTTTATGACAACTTCGTAGTCAATTTTTTTTTTTCCCTTATTAGTAAATAATATTGTGACATCATCAGCGAACATAATAGGTATACAGCGTGCATAACACCGAGTAAGATGTGGCAGTTCATTTATATAAATTATAAAGAGAAGAGGACCCAATACGCTACGCATGGAATTAATAAGTATTTCGTACAACTGGAAGGCTTACTGTGTATTGAAGCGTGCGCCGAGCGAGATGTCATAAATCTTGGTCCGTCTCTTTCTGACTAGTGGTAGACCTGTGGTAATAACAAACAGAGATGACGCCATATTATTTTAGTGTTGCCTAATGTAAAACAAATAAAACTTTCCAATAATATTTAAATATCGTGAAATAATATAAAGACTTTGATTTATTTGCGACCTATTGCATTCATAGTTGGTATGGTATTATTTACAAACATCTTATAATATTCATGGACAAAATGACGTATTGTTTTTATGCCAATTTTTTTTTATAGTCAACTACCGTATTGTATCAAATATCTCACATGGCAATTGTGCGAAAGGGACACACCAAGAAAGAAGATGTCTCACTTGAGCTCAGATCTCTAAGGAGATATTGGTTATTTAAAAAGTATTTTATTGCTATTCGTTTAACGTTCATTTTGATATGTCAAAATAATTGCAGTGAGCTTTCCAGTTGTACGAAGTACTTATTAATTCCATGACGCTACGCAATAAATGTTTAAGGCTTTAAGGCGATCACTCTATCATTTGTGTATCGATTTTGATGATGATTTTTTTGTTAGAAAGGTGTCTCAGTACTGGTCCAAATTTTTTTTTTTTATTTTTTTTTATTTTTTATTGTGACTCGGCAAAATGACTGCACCGCGCCTGATGGAAAGTGCGAATACAGTCCAGAGATGAGAGTAACGGATGGAAAACACAAATATCTTCACTCCGTCACTATCATTTTGCCGGTCTGGCCAAATGCTTCTTCACACTACGTTTGAAGGACCCGATGTTATAGAGGGGAGGGAATACATGCGCCGGGAGTTGGTTCCACAATTTGATGGTTCGGCATAAAAACGAATTGCCAAACTTTTTAGTGCGGGACGGTATTGAACTGACCGTCCATCTGTGGCAACGCAGTCCGGCACGGGTGGTCCGCTGATGGAAAGGAGAGGAAGGGATAAGGTTGAATAACTCTTCAGAGCACTCACCATGGAACATTTGACAAACCTCTAAGGGTGGCATATCAGAGGAGGAATCTGGTTAACTGAATTTCACCGACATTCCGCTCACCGATTTCTATAAATCTTGAGGCATTGATGTAATTCCAATGAAATTAAAATGTTATAATGACCTAGAGCCGGTCTGATGATGGAAATGGCAGACAGAAGACAGGGACTCCTCAAATGTGCCTCTATATCTATACACTAAGACTGTAGAGAAGCTTTCTTGTGTTTAGGTACATATTAAAGGTCTTCAATATTCGTTTCAATTATTATTGGACAGATTGGGGTAGATACGAATGCACCGAAAGCAGATAAACACACTTTTCAAGTCAGTTTTGTCTAATAAAAAAGTTTTTCAAAAATTTTCACTGCAAAATCGCTCAACATTTTCTAATAGAATCAGTGTGTGTTCAAAAATTTTTATGCCTTTGTATTAACGAGGAGCATTTACAAACGGACGAGAATAAATAGGGCGGGACTTCAAACCCTTTTTTTTATCGAATGACAATAACGTATGCAAATGCAGACATGACTTCTATTGCATCGAAGTACGATGTCAGTGATGCACAGGTCGTTCTTGTGGCTACTTCGGAACATTACAAATTTGTATAGAGATTAAGTTATAAAATAAAGACAGTGATTCCTGGTGATATATTTATTATAATATTAAAATTTTAGTTTACAATAATAAAATAAGGTAAGGGGTTTATATTCCATAATGCCAATTGTTACATAAATAATTTAAATTAAAAAAATTCGCATGAAGTATAATTTTATATACAATTTCCGAAGTATATTGAATGGATATAACAAAGTATTAAATGAATATTACGTGAAAAGGAGAATAATTTAATATTATAAAGACAATAATAAGTATTAAGACGTGAAAGTGGACAATGACGAAGTTCTATAATAACTTTTCAACTATGCATTTGCAGAGAGAGTAAACACTTCATCTGGTGTGGCCATTAATGCAGTTAAAAATTATAACATGAACTCTAATGCAGACTTTTTTCATAACTAAACAGGGATTTATTTGCACAAATTAAATGTTTCGTAGTTGCTTGCTTAGTTTCTTTTTTTTAAGTTTTCTTTAAAATTATTCATTTTTTTGTTTTTGTTGGGTTACTTTTAGGATGACATTTATTCAGGCTCGTTCATCCTAAGGCGAGCGAAGTCCTCAAACACGATATTGTCTTCCTCCTCGTTGGTGTATAGAGAATTCTCGTAGCGATGTCTTTCGATGGATTGCATCTTCTTCATCGCGTTAAAGCGCTGGCGTTCAACGGTGCCTAGAGCAATGTATACTTAATTAATTTCCCTTAAATATTAATCAATACGGAGAAAAGAACGGCCATCTTGGCAAATTATCAATTTTAATAATTATAAACAACTTTAAAAACTTAAATGACTGTATAATTTTCTTTGTGTTGAAATATTACCTTCAGCTGGATGCAGTAGCTTGAATGGCACATCGGTTACGAGCTCTCCGCCTAGAGTTCCGCAGTTAAGCTTTACTCGGACGGAGTAAGAAACCACAATACCAATGGCATCAGCTGGGCATTTGCCTTCCACTACCAAGGTAGAGCTGGCCAGGTTCACATCATCTTCCTTCAGGTGGCCGTCCAGAGCCACGCCTGTTACAAAAAGTGTATAGTTGAAATCGTTTTTGGTAACCTACCCAAGAAGTGCGTGTAATTTAACGCGTAGAGTTATTCCAAATACAAACCGCGGATGTCTTTGTTGCTGCGAGCCAATGGAACCAGGTAGAAGGTCTTCGACAAACTTGCTCCAGGTGTGATAGGGCAGCCTTCACGGCTTTCTAAAGAGGCAACATGGCGGCTAAATTGAGAGTTGATCATAGTAATCTCAACGTGTTGCACGACCATGCAGCGAATATTCCTCACAGCTTTCCGTGAGTTGTTGGAAACAATGATGTTCGCTGCAATCTTCTCGCCATGGTAGTAGATCTCACGATCTAAGGTCACTTCAAGGTTGATCTTGCCATTGCTGAAGGTGAATCCCTTGCTCACAAGAGAGCTTGGGAGACGGCGACCGCGAGAAGAAGGTGCGTGTTGCAGCTAAATATGAAAATCAGTAAGTTGGCTTAACGTATTTGGAACTGTAACTTTAAACTAATAATAGACTGAAAAATTCTTCACCTTCTTGATAGCAAGAGTAACAGAGCTACGCTTGTGGCTCTTCTGATCTTCATTCTCAGCAACATAAGTCCTCACGCAGTACTCAACTCCCATAGGTTTGCCTTGATCTTCCTCGGCAGGTTGCAGAGTTACCTATTCAATAGTTTACTTTTATCAAAAACTCTAGTTGGAGTGATATTTGTTATTTGAACCAATTTGAAAATTTTACCGAGCTAGGCGCCATCTCAGGGAAATTGAAGGTGAAAGGGAAGGCGTTAGGGCCAAGCTTCTTCAGCAACTTCTCTTGCACAGGAGTCAGTTCCATCTTCGAGTTAATCATTGGGACGACTTGGTCCTGGCCAATCACCATTTCCTTGGAAAACTTCACACCCATCACCTCATCTTCCTCCCTACCATAGCGGTACGTCGTCACAAGCTAAACAAGAAATTGGATATTATTAATCACTGCACTTGTTTAGAATCGCACTGAAGCACTTCACTTTGTACCTGACTATAAATTTTTCTTCCTTTCAGGTACTCGGTGTCAACAACCACGACTCCATCAACGGGATCGCAGTAATCCATATGATCAATGAAGTCGCGTTTGCCAAGGTACACCGTAATTTTTCCATTGGGAGTTGTTTTCTTGAAAACTTTTACAGCAACCACGAAAGCTAGGGAAATGTAGTCAAGCATTTTGCTTGATTTTTAAAATCAAATTGTTTGAAATTGGGAAGCACAGGGAATTTATAAAAAGTTTTGGAGTTAGCGGAGTGTGAAAGTTTTGAAGCGTTCACCAGAAATGACATTCGTAAAAAATATTGCTCTTATATAGAGGAACATGTGAGGTTTCTTGAATGAAATAACGACATAATAGGATTTGGATGTAGGATGTGGGAGTTCAAATAGGATTAAAAGTCGCATGACGATGACGCATCGTTTGTTTAGTCGTATTTAAATCGATTTGGCGCATCACTAAACAACTTTCTGAACGTTACCCCAACACCATTCGTCGTTTTGACGTACAATTTGTTTGACATTTGAAGATCCGACCGAAATAATTTTATTGGGGTATTTTTGACTATATTTCACTTTGTTATTAATAAGCTGAAAAATCTGATTCTATAGGCTAATTAGAATCCTATTAGAGATGCAGACAGTCACGTGTACTGAAAGTAAACACCCCTACGTCAGCAAATTAGGCAGAAAATGTAACTAAAACTCTGTGAGTTCCTTCATTGTTTTCTTTTGATTTTACAGTTTTTTAGGTATAAGAGAGTATATTAAAATTTCTACAGACATTTAAGTAGGCTGTAGAACTAAATAACCTCCCCTTTGATTGTATTTGAAAACAAAATTACTCTGTTCTTTGCCTTGGTTAGCATATTATTAAGCAGTGTTTCGAAGCCATTTTATGGTACACATTAACTACGTAAAGCCTACACATTGCAATTGAAGACTGGTATTATGGAAAACTGGTGAATAAGCTATAGGTGAAGGCTGAAAGTTAATAATGCAGTCTTTAAACATTTTTGTCCACATCATTTGTGTTTTGTGGAAAAATATGAAGTTGTTTAGCAATTTTTCAATTTCGCAGCTATACAATCGCAATGCCGACATTCCTGACTCCAGGACGGCATGGGTACAGTGTGCGGTTCTCGCGCACCAGGCCTGACGCGCTCGCAGTCGCCACTAGTCAGTATTACGGGCTTGCTGGTGGAGGAACACTGTTCTTTCTAGAACTAGCTCCTGATGGTACTACCTTATTGGAGTTACAGAAGTTGGAGTGGAGCGATGGACTATTTGATGTGGTAAGACAATGTTGTAAACACATGGGCAATATTTGGGTTAGTTTTCTCTACCTAAATTTGGTGGCAATTTTTATTATTGAACTAACTATTTTATGATAATATTCTACAATATTTAAATAATAGAAATTGTCACCGAAGTTAGGTAAAAAAATCTTACTTAAAAATTATCTACATATTATTCTTATTATTGTTAGGGTGGGATTACATAGGTTGTGCAGCCTTATATCACCACAACTAGTAATTTACTTATTTCGGCCACTGAGGAGTAATGCTCACATTACTACGTTCCGGTTTTGAACAGTAGGAGTGCTAGTGAAATTACAGGCACATGGGACTTGTCAACTTATGTTTTAGGGTGATGGGCGCAAAGGCAGTGCCCCTCAGATATTTATGATTTAATGCTTTAAAGCTCTTAGTGGCACTGCAACCGTCATTACCACAGAGTACAGCTTGTTCATCCTATCACATGGTATGGTATGGTAGGATTTTCTTTTTACTTCTTTCGATGGGAAGAACGCTTGCCCAGGGTTTACGGACACTCATCACTAGGCTACAGGGGCATATTATATATATACTTATACTATTTATTAGGATACTTTTGCTGCTGTAATATTTAAGTCAATTTGACACCAGCAACTAACACTACATTAAGTTAAAAATTGAGTACACAAAAGGAACCATGCAACGTACCATTCTTTTCATGTACATCTGGTGCACCCTACTCTGGTGCAACTACCTTGTGCAAATTAGAAAATCCTTTCACAATGGCAAGCATACGTTTATGCTATCAATATGATAAGAAGAAAAATTTATTGAATAAGTAAACTTTTCACCAGAGCCCATAATAGTGTGGATTGTGTGCCTATGTGTTCCTGGGTCCTATAACTAGATTTTTATACTGTTGTCATAGTTGCACATGCAAAGCAATCAACGCCATTAAACACTTAATATTCATTTATTTATCTCGTCAATAAGCATACATTTAACTTCTAGATCCTTTGAAAGATGTTGTTTATGAGATGAATGAGGTATTAATTGACAACATCTACAGTCACATAATGGATTGTACAGTTACTGCCATCAGGAAGCCGTCATTGACCTTCAGCGACCAAACTAGGAACACATTAGTAGGCACCCACTCCATGTACGTGATAGTGAAAGTGTATGTAAATACATTCATGGATTAGCAAGCTGTAATGTATTAGAATAATTTAACGAATACAATCAATCGAGTGCAAATAATTACGTGTTCTTCTTGTCGTTTCAAAGGCGTACACTATAATGCTTGCTGTCGTGAAATGTTTTGCCAATCGGCGTAACATTCATGCTGATAATGTTGCCTCGGATGCGTCAGACGTACAGGATAGGAATGGTAAGTCGTGCGGGGAGGCTCTGTTCGTGCACCCCATTACGTGTTAAGCGACCCAAATTTCAATATTATCATTTTCTTTAACATTGAATTATCACAATTTAATTAAAGCCGCCGGTGACGATTTTTGAAAACAGTGAGCCATATAGAAGAAAATGTTGCAAATACAGGAAATTCTTTTTTAAATTTCTTAGGTAAGCTTTTGAGAATTATTTAGTAAGGACACTTTGATACTGGAAGCACAAAGTTTCTAAACTACATTCTAATCTTAGTGGTCTATAGCGCTTAGCCAGTGTTTACACCCTCTCCTTAGGGAAGATGTATGATACATGCCCAGCAGTGAGACATCAACGATACAGTCAAATACATGTGACTTTATTACATTCTAGCTTCCTACATTGTTATAACAACTTTATGAGAACCGCCTTACTATGGCTTCGGAGTGGTTATGTGTAATCTCTAGCGTCAGCTCTTAACAGGCTTATTGAACCTTTTATAGACAATTGACTTAAGTCATTGAAACTGTTTTCGTCATGTTTAATTTGTGTTTTTGTGTATTAACAGATTATTGTTGATTATTTTCATAACAACTTTGTTTCGTCAATAGTATTTTATGCAATTCTTATATCTTAAAGCCGAGTACCGTGTTTAGGCCATAGGTACGAGATTTTAAGACCTAATTATGAAATGATTGGTTACAATACTTTTTCTACGAGTAAATAAAATAATGAAATACAATCAATAATAAAATTAATGTATATTTTCATAACAATCCATGACAACAAACTCAGCTTTTTTAATAAATTTTCACCCATTTATTTGGGTACATACTTAATACATATTATTGGGGAAATACAGCCTTTTCATATATTTACACGAAAGCGAATCAAACGCCACAAAACAAAAAACCAAAAAATATAATAGAATCTTTTTTTATAAAAGTTTATGGCCTGGTTGCAAGACCTTTAGGCCAATTTAACCAATCAGGAGGCAGTAGAGCGTTCGCGTAGCGTCATATTTGATAGTTTATTGAGCAAAAATACGACTTTATTTATTTTAAACTTTACGAGTACCATAGATAATAGAATTTTGGTTCAGAATTAAAGTTAGTGCCTTTGAGGAGTAAAAAAACATAATTTAGGTCAATATATCGACAGATATATTCTAGATTATCTATCAGTCATCATCTGCCTATCGCAGTCCACTGCTAGACATAGGCCTCTCCCAATGTGCGCCATTTCACCCGGTCCTCAGCTTGCCGTATCCATGTGCTGCCAGCAGCCTTTCACGGATTGTCACTATCTATCTATCTATCTTTCATTATTATTATTTCCTTAATGGCGGCCACTGGGCTTAGGCAGCAGCAAGCAAGGTATTTATTTTTGGAACCACTTCTTTGACGGACTGCTGTCGTGGAAATCATACCTGAGGTGAAAAAAACAATCACTGACTAACAAAAAACTAGATCATAATAATATTAGAGCAAATAAAATCACACAAAATGTTAATAGAGGGAAAATACACATAATTCCTTAGAAGGGATATTTATTTGAAAGACAGAAAGAGAACTGTTTATTACACAAGCGCAGACACGCATATAAACAAAACAACAGAGGAACAATAATAGTAATTATAATAAATCAAAATTAATTTTTTTAGGCCCTCGGAGAAGCGAGTTTAAAATAAATAATGATACAATAGTAATAATAATAAAAGAATTAAAAAAAAACAATAATAATTTAAATAATTGATAATGCAGTAGGTACCTAATTCACCGTCATGCGTGTCGTGGCTGGTGCAATCGGGACTTGCTCAGCTTTAGCCACAAAAAGGCTTTTTTTAAACCGTTTCGTGGCGCTGATTTTCAGCAATCCAAAGCGAGTGAGCCACTGACAACAATACATAACTCAACAATAAATAAATAAACAGATAAGAAATCCGACATAATAGGTAGTGTACATACAACTACATACACATGAGAAATACTTATAATATGTAAATAACGTATATCAATAAAATAAACTTAAATTCGAATATTTTTATACAAATTTGATAATATATGAAATGTAAAGGTAATTTTGTGAAGTATTTATTACGGAAAAGAAACAATCTGTTACTGGTAGCATTCTGTTACCCGTACATATATATAAAGTTTGGGGACTTTTTGGCTCACCGCCCACTTAGGCAAGATAAAAAAAATTTAATGCCCACCACCACAAGAAATAATTGAAAACCAATATTTTTTATGTCAACTTAACATAAATAATCACAAGGAAAAAGTTATATATGTATGTAGAGTACTTTATATAGATAATTCAGGTTTGTTTTTCAAATGTGATAGCACCCCCTGGACAGCATCAACACCCCCCTATTGGTTCCAAGGCCCCTACCCTAGGACACTTCAGCGCCCACTGGGTAGGGATCACTCTGGGAAACTATGATTTCACCTATTTTCTTATTATAAGAATGACAATAAACGCCTTGTCCTCTTGAAGTACAAAAATAATATAACTATATGCAATTGAACAAAATAAACAATACGTGTATTAAATATTAGATACAACATTACTGACATTGCAATTCATTCCAAAGTGCCATAATCAGTAAGTACAGAATAAATAATTACGTTTCATTGTAGAGCTGTGAAATTAGTCAATGTCTTAGGCTACTCCAGAAATTTAATTCGGCATGCGTTTACATCACAAGTCAATTTAGAAAGAGCTAACAAAATTACACAACAAGTTATTTCTGTCATTTTTTGTGAAAGAGGCAGCACTGGAATATAAAACTGCTTTAGTTTGCTTTTAACAGCATAGATGCCAATGTCAGAGTATTTTTTATGACACCACGAAACAGGACAAGTAAGTCGTGGTGGTAAGCGACATGCCTGTCCATAACAGTTGCAGTGCTATACAGGGCTTTAAATCACAAAGATCTGGGGGCACTTCCACTGCCGTCTCCCTGAGATATAAGTTGACAAGTCCCATGTGCCTGTAATGTAAAATGAATTATATATATTAATATTATATATTAATTGTCATTTATTAAAAGGAATTCAATTTAAAATTACCTAATAATAATATTTCTTGTCATATAGTACATTGTTTTCTTGTATAGTACATAACTGTAGTAAGAGTTCAGAGAATTCAGGCACTTTACGTGACACAGGCAGAAGAACTTTCGTTTTAGAACCCAGTTTGTAAAAAGATTATTCAAGTTTCTTTACGTATTGTCTCATCTTTATCATTGCATTGTTTTTTTGCGGGAAGAGGAATGAATATTCTTTGATTTCTAAGATTGACATTGGCTTGACACGTTTGGATACGTCTCTGATACAAACTCACGGCGCGACATTGTTAGCGGTAGCACTTTGTGGTTCCAATTCATTTTATTAACCGACTTCAAAAACGGAGGAGGTTCTCAATTCGACTGTATGTTCTTTTTTTTAGTATGTATGTTACGCGATAACTCCGGTATTGGCGAACCGATTTTCATGATTATTTTTTGTTGGAAAGAGGGTATTTCCATAGTGGTCCCATTTCGAAGAAAATCATCCACCTCAAAGGGTGGCTGTTCACGCATGAAGATTCATTTTTATAAATAGCGCCTAACTTTAATTTAGGAGCAATTACTTTTAGCAATTATTTAGTTGATTTTGCTATTTCTCCAATTCAAGGCGTTTTTCTCTCGATATACTTTGAGTAGTGTCGTAGTGAGAACCTATTTTTATTATCTCCAGTGTCAATTCCTGTATAGTGGCGAACTAGGGGATATTTCAATGAAACTTAGCAAGTAATTCCACGTACTTTTGAGGTCGGTTTTTTTAGTACTCTGTACTGAGATTATAAATATCAAGACCTATATGTGTATATTTCTCAAAATAATTGTTGTGGTTATTATTACTTTGAACCCTCTCTACACGCTGCAGTTGATATTGTTGTAAGGTATTAAGTTGAAGGCATGTTGTAGGGTATGAATTTGTGTTCAGACATGGTCGGGCACATCAGACGGTGCGGCGGCATGCGGCGCAGGCGATGGCGCAGTGGTCGTATGGCGCGTGGGCGTGTCCGCGCCGTTGCGCGTGTTCCGCGGACACAGCGGCGAGGTATGCAGCGTGGACTGGCCTAGGGCGCATCTGCTCAGCGCCAGCTGGGACACCACCGTGCGACTGGTGAGATATTTCCACATAGTGTGGTTTGGGTGGTATAGATTTGACCTTTATGCTGAAGTTAGTACCTCTGCTATGAGTACATGACGTTGATAGGCGCTAGCGTAAAATATTTGTCAACTTTGTATAAAGTAATTGTTCGCAAGAACTAACTTTGTGTAAATAATAGAGTTGCCACGAATATTCAGTTACTACTCGGCTTATTTTTTGCTATTGGGTCGAATGTCGAAATATTATTCGGCCTGCCGAATATCGAATTAAAAAACCGGAGGAAGAGATAAGAAAAAACAAACAACATGGATTTTTTATTAATGCTACCGCATACATTGTAAAAGCGTGATTGCTCGTTTCTTTACCTGAAGGATCGAAGAAAATGTAATTTACGTAAAAAAATATTTTTCGAAGAGATCAAAAAACTTGCATTTCAAATGAAAACTACTAACTACCTGCACGTAGTTTACTCATGACGAAATAAACACTAACAAAATCAAGTACTTGTTATTTGCAAATAAAATACAATTACGTTTTTGAAAGTTAACCAAACTGAAGTGAAATATTCAATTAATTTATTCATGAACTAAGAACATATATATTGTAAGCTTGTACATTTTAGTTGTTTTTTCGTTTCATTGTTCAAAATTATTTATCATAACATTTATAACTGAAGTTTATACTTAAGTGATTTTTTCGTCGTGGCTTAACCAGGCCGAATAGCGAATAGTATTCGGCCAATATTCCGCTATTCGGACACACCCTTGGTCGAATATGCGGTATACTATTAATTGCAATACAAGTAAATAAATATTTGTATGCGGTAGCTAATATATAATACAATAACAACTTACTGTAATGTCATGGTAGACGTACTGTACGTTCTTGCAGTATTGCGTACCTAATTTATCATGGCTGTTTTTATGAACGGGTTAACGGGATTGATTTTTTATATATATTCACACATCAAAAGTGTCTAGAGATCAAGGTATTGTTTGTACATATTTGAATACATATTAAAATTAAATAAAAATATCTGTATAAATTTATTAAATTATTTGTTTATTTTTAAATTATGACATTGACCAAATAAACAATTGGTGTTATAACATTAATTAAAAACCTGATTTTCAGTAATTGGCAAAAACGTATATCGGGTACGTTTGACCTAGACACTTGATGTGTGTATATAATTTTTTGGACACAATCTTACCTGATATTATGATATGGTGAAGCCTGCATGCGAAGATGGTTGACAACCCCTTCCCACAATCACTATGGTCAAAACTTTTCTCAGAGAGCCCTGCTTAGTAGTGGAACGTATAATAGGTTGATGAAACAAGGCTACAGGGTAATAGCCTAGCAGTGGCGAGGCGTTCGTGTAGCTCGATTTTAACCGGCTCGCCTAAAATTTTCCACGTATTATCAAATACTACATTTTGTGCTCAATTTTATGTGTAGAATAAGTTAACCAGTGAAATGAAGTATACTAGTACCTGTGTGCTAGTAATTTCTATGTATGTGTCGGTAGGGCGCCACTTATTTTTAAGGGAAGTGCTTTTTGATTATCACTAATATCAGGTTTCTTACCACGGTATGACTTCTTTTTATTTTCCCGATATTTCGGAACGGTTGCACGCTCCATGGTCACGAGTTGACTCAAAAAGAAGTCATACCGTGGTAAGACACTTGATATTAGTGGTAATCATTTAGTGAATAACCACGGAAGTGTTTTTTGTTTTGCTCTGGCTTTACTAACTACAATTTTCACCTAGCTGCGAAAATGTAATGGTTGTTTAAGTCTCTTTGGTATTATGACCGTTTCAGTGGGACCCGGACCGCGAAGCGTGTCTCAGCACTTTCGCAGGTCACTCGCAGCTGGTCTACACGGCAGTATTTTCCCCCCATTCACCGGCTACGTTCGCATCGGTATCTGGCGACGGCCACCTCAAGCTGTGGTCGTGTACTGAGCCATCCCGACCCGCGGCGGTCGTCAAAGCACACGAGGCTGAGGTGAGTGACCTTTATCCCGTCTGGATTGGGTTCTGTTTGCTACGTTCCGATATCGTGGTCGTGCTGCAGGTGCTGTCGTGCGACTGGAGTCGCGCGGAGACGCACGCGCTGGCCACTGCTGGCTCGGACGGGCTGGTGCGCGGCTGGGACCTGCGCCGGCTCACGGCGCCCATGTTCACGCTCAAGGGTGAGTTTTAATAACCGTGTACAAATTCATAGGTAAGTAGTAAATACTTCCCTGGACGAACTCTTTCGCAAGAGGCTCTACTGTTACTAAATACTTGACTGTTATTAAATAATTTATTTAAATAGTCCCGCAAACGCTAATGAGTCAGAATGTCGATAGGTAGGAATATCGTATAGAATTGTAGTTTCTTCACTATTTTTGAGTAGCATGTATAGTTTATAGTACCGTAGTTTATATTGTCCGAGATACCTAGATTCAAAAGGTGTTTATTATATGGTTATTCATTGACAGGGTGCCATCGTTAAGTGTGCCCAGGCGATTGTTCCATAAATATAAGAGATATCAAAAAGCTTTAAACTGATGTCGATGAAATGATTCTTACATGAAACTGAGTCGATCAGCACTAAAAAAAAATATCAATTTTATCCATTTTTATGAACAACTCACACTTGACCAAATAATTGACTATGCCATTATATTTTTTATTTATTACTTTATTTATAGCAATTTTGTATCTTGTGTATCTGCTAACTCATTGTTACCTCTTACAGTAGGAAAACTAAAACCTCTCTACGAATGTCATATTAAATGTATGGGAGTGGTTAATGTCAAAACTGTGGATATGTCTAGTTTTATTTTTTTTAAAGTTATTGATGTCGATTTAGTCATTAGGTAACGTACTTTCGATATCTGTTTAAAACTTTTTTGATATCTCTTATATTTATGGAATAATCCCCTGGGCATGCTTAACGATTACACCCTGTATAGTATATTTTTTAATTTTTTTAATTCAAATGTAAGTGTGCATTTTGAATATGAAAAAACACGTGTTCATTGGTTAAAATAAATAAGTAACAACATGGACCAGTATAAAATTCGTCACCTTTGCACGCTGGACCTTCAGTTTAACAGCCTCTGTGGCCGAACGGTTAACATGCTGGACTGCCACGTAGAGGTCCCGGGTTCGATTCCCGGGCCGGGAGAAATATTAATATGACCTACATTTATTTATCTCGTTAGTTTGGGTGTAAATTGTCCATGGCACCCTCGCACTAGAGAAACCCTGTATCGCGGTAAGCGTTCGACCACGGAGGCAGTAATGTGTGTGAATTTTCAAGTGTGTGTGTCATTCTTATTATTATTAATTAATAGACTATCTGGAAAACCCAAGGGTCGGCAGCCACCTTGCCCATTGCATTATCATAGCCATACAAAGTGAGAATGTTGCCAGGATCTTGGGCACCTTACCGCTTTAATTCTAGTTTTAGTTTCTTGTATTACAGCTTTTATTGTACCTTACGTATTTTAAACTAGTTGATACATATTAACTAAAAATAACGTATAACTCACATATTTAAGTCGAACCATGAGATTCCGTCACCGCCGCGGAATCTCATGATTAAGGACCACGAATTGGTTCGAAACATGTCGAGCAAAAATTTGACTTAAATACGTGAGTTATCCGTTAATTTTAGTTAATATGTCTGAGTCTCACGGGGGGTTTCTATTTAAAATAGTTGATACATAGGCAGATATAGGGTCGCACATAAGTCAAAAAAGTATTTCTTTTTTTAAATTATAATTATTATATTTTTTGTGTTCTTTATAATGTTGGAAGATGTGAAGAATGATATGCGGAGCATATAATACGGATAAGAATGATGTATGGAGAGTTTGTGCGTTATTAGTTAATACTAATTTATTATTGAGTTGTTTCTAAACTGTCTTAATGAATTAATTGATTTTGAGAGAGGCCACTGTTATAGAAAGTCATCGAAATGCAATTGTTGATGAACGCGTATAAGTACAATGCAATTAATTATTCGATTTTATATTATTTCAGGTTGCGAATGCGCTGTTAGAAGAGTCCAATTTTCGCCGCACGCGCCTTCTGTCATCGCGGCAGTGTCTTATGATTTCACAACGAGGTATTTTCTTGTCATAATGTAGAATAACTATATTATTGTTTTCGCGAAAATGAAGTTTACATGGCGATGTTTTCTTTAATGATAAAAGCGAGTAATTGGTGAATTAAATTCCACCTGATTTGAAATATGTAGTGGTGCAACACTTTATTGTCATTACACCTCCGAAGTAGGACTGAACGTCGTATTCTAGAACTCTACTCAATGCTCAAGTCAGGATTTGAGTATGGTTCAAAGCACTCGAAATCATACTCAAGTACCTGCCATTAGGGTCGTGCTTGTGTTTCCACTGCAATCCTAACTTGAGCATTGAATAGAGTTCTAGAATACTAGGGGTCGTGTTGTACTTCAGACAACAAAAAAATCTGTTATACGATTTTTGGCATTACAATCATATTTTTCGATTTTTCTTATATGCATATAAACTATTATTATAAACATATAAATTACTTTTATAAAGAGATTAACTACTTTTATAACGCGATAAATTTCTTTTATAACGAGATATATAGTAGGTAAGTTACTTAAGCTTATGTGCGTGCAATCTAAAAAATCCATTGTGAATAAAAAAAATAAAATGCGTATTAGGATATGGGACCTGAAGCGCGGCTGCGAGCCCCTGGAGACGATCAGGCACCACTCAGAGTTCACATACGGCCTGGACTGGAACGCGCTGCGGCCGCCGCAGATCGCTGACTGTGGCTGGGACTCGCTGGTGCACGTATTCACGCCAAGGTGCCTTGCCTGAGCAGGTACTGTATGACCTTGTAGTCTAACCTTGGCGAAATTATTAGATTTAGATTTATATTACAGATTTATTAGATTTAGATAAAATTTTAGTAGCAATAGAGCTCCTTGTGAATGTGTTCGTCCAGGGAAGTACTGCCAGCGTTCTGTATTCCGGTTTGGAAGGATAAGGGTGCTGGTGAAATTACAGGCACATGGGACTTGTTAACTGTGTGTGAAAAATATGTGGCAAGGTGACGGGCGCAGTGGCAGTGCCACTGTTATGGACAGGCGTGTAGCTTGCCATCAGGCGCTTGACTTGTTGTTATATATACACTTGGTATTATATATAAAAAAACACAATTGATAAGTAAATGAAAGAAAAAAAGTAATAATATAATAATAATAATAATAAAATTGTTTATTAAGTAACATAATGTACAGAGAAAACTAAAGACTACTTATGCGATTTAATGTAAAAATAACACATGTACCTGAAATAGGAAATTCCTGTATTTCAGGTAAAAAGTACTACTAATTATAAACGATACTGTTAATATTATAAATACTTTTTAGGAGAATGTTATGAAATAAAATTAAACAATAAATTGCCAATCAATAAAATGTACACCTAAACACGATAACATTTATTTTACGATAATAAATAAATTCTCTGTATCCTCATAGGACATATTTTGAAGAGCTTCTTGGAGAATTTTCTTTACTTTAAAGCAACAGAAATTATAAATGGAATATTTGGCGTTTAATTTATTGTACAAAAATGGTCCAAGAAACACAAAAAATCTTGAAATAAAAGTATATTTTGGTGATATAATTTTGGGGCAGACAATATCTTTTCGTCTTTTATCAGTGTTTTCAGTAATATATGGGAGCAATATGTGCTGTTTGAGGACTGTGGACTTAATAAATAATTACCTTACAGTTAATACTTTACATGACTTATACAGAAGGTTATAAAGTAATAAAATAACGTATGAACTAACATGATCGTAGTTTTGCGAAAATGGCACCTAATCACTTCGTTAGTTGATAATTTGTTCTAAAATTTACTTGTAAAATGAAAACTTTTGCTGTTGTGCTTGTTGTTGTTGAGAAATTATAGTAATAAATTAAACAATTCATCGTTCCTGAGGTGACAACAGCAAAACTTTTATAAATTTGGAGAAAATCAGAATCCGGATTTGAACCCACGGCCGATGCTTGATAGGCGGTTAGGTCAAACCACTAAGCAACCACGACTTGAAATTTAGAATTTTGTTTTCTATTGTGTTTAAAAGTGGTTATTTATTTATTTATTTATTTATGTACAAATGGCGGACTTAATGCCATAACGCATTCTCTACCAGTCAACCATTGGGCCAAACAGAAAAAAACAAAAGGTTGGTGCTACACTTAAAACAGAACAAATGTCATAAGCCTAAATTTTATGGTTAACTTATACAGTATAACGCGCTCCCGCTCCGTGTAAGACAAGCTCAGACCAAATTATCTTTCAAGCGCATGTTGCGCAAGCATCTGTTTGACAATTGTCAAAATTAAGACACTGTATAATGTTGCTTTTGGGTACATATATCATATTATTTATTATTATAATATATATGTAAGTTTATTATGTATGTATAATAAGTATGTTTATAGCATGTTATTTATTTATACCATACAAATTATCGATTAGTTTTCTAGTATATTGTCCTTCTTGTTTAAGTGTAGCACCAACCTATTGTGTTTTTTTTTTCTGTTTGGCCCAATGGTTGACTGGTAGAGAATGCCTTAAGGCATTAAGTCCGCCACTTGTACTTCAGTGTATTGTACAATAAAGTTTAAATAAATAAATATAAAATAAACATAATACAGCATAAACATACTCAATATATATAATATTAATTAATAATATATAAGTAACTAGATGCCGCGCGATGCGCCGGGCCGCTAAAGCGGCCCGCGAGGGCTTTCTTTATATCTGGTGACAAATTGGGAGTTGAACTTTATATTTCAGTAGACAATCCTCTTTGGTTGAATTTGGGTGGGAGGGAGCAGGATTAGATAGATAGATAGATAAAATCTTTATTCGGTTACTGGCTGATCCAGTTTAGTTACATGTAGGGGTAGTTGGTATAATCGCGTCAAGTCGTATCTTTAAATATCTTAGAACAATCCACTCGTATATCATTGACAGCTGCGAAGAGTCAGAGAGGAAAGTCAATTGTTTATGGCGGCCATTTTGAATTTGCCATATTGGAAAATTTTTGATCCCAGTAGAACCTGACCAGGGTCCTTGACATATTTTGTTTGAAAGTCATACACCGCCATTTTGTTTTTCGAATTTTGAATTTTTTTCACTTCCGGTAGAAACTGCCCAGGTTGTGGATGAACATTTGTTTGGAGACTTTGAGCCAAGACGTATACATTGGCCAGGCAGCTGTGGTCTTACCTGATGCGGAGCATATTTTGAAGGTTTCGATACTTTTTCATATTCACTAAGTCCGTCCGACTATAATTACTCTACATCATTTCTACCCACCCGCCTGTATTCTGGGAGAAAAATGACGCCAAAGAGCAGACAATTCACATGTATGGCGGCCATCTGCGCGGGCCGCGAGGGCTTTCTTTATATCTTGTGGCAAATTGGGAGTTGAACTTTATATTTCAGTAGAATCCTCTTTAGTTAAGTTAGAGTGGGAGTGATCTGCGACGATTCAGAAAAGTCAATTGTTTATGGCGGCCATCTTAGAAAATAACGGAATCCAAATTTCGTTCACAGATACATACTATGAGCCTCCATACACGATCGGGTATCAAATTTCAGTCGGATCGGAGAACTTTTATTTCGGGCCGCCATTTTGAGTCCGCCATCTTGAAAATTTTTTTTACTTGCAGTTGGCTTGTTCTATTCTGTACATTTGTTTGAGCGCCTCACGTCTATCTCCAAACCTCGCCGAGATGTAGGCCTCGGAACACAGTGAACGGTAGAAAATGTATGGCGGTCATATTGGAAAATGGTGGAAACGAAAATTTGACCGCAAATTCCTATTACTGTCACCCGAATATGGAAAAATGTTAAATTTCAGCCGGAGCACCTTTTCACCGGGCCGCCATCTTGAATCGGCCATTTTGAAAAAATAATTTCGAAAGCCAGTTAGACCCTGTCACCGTCTACGATATTAGTTTGAACACGATTTACCTATCTCCAATAGTTTCCGAGATACAGGCCCCCGAAATTTGAATGGCGGCCATTTTGTTCTTCGAATTTCGGATTTTTTTCACTCCCAGTAGAAACTGCCCAGGGTGTGGATAAACATTTGTTTGGAGACTTTGAGCCAAGACGCATACTTTGGCCGGGCAGCTGGGGTCCTACCTGATGCGGAGCATATTTTGAAGGTTTCGATACTTTTTCATATTCACTAAGTCCGTCCGAGTATAATTCCTCTACATCATTTTTACCCACCCGCCCGTATTCTGGGAGAAAAATGACGCCAAAAAGCAGACAATTTACATGTATGGCGGCCATCTTGAAAAATGGCGAAATCGAAATTTCGATTCGAGATTTGTATTGCAGACTCCCATTCACGACCACACGGAAATTTGAACCGGATCGGAGCACTTTTATTTTGGGTCCCAATTTTGGGTCGGCCATTTTGAAAAAAATTTGTCACCGGCAGTTGACCCCCGTCGCCCTCTATGACATTTGGTCGAGCACCTTCCGCCTATCTTCAATATTTGCCGAGCTACAACGCTCTAAAATTTGTATGGCGGCCATCTTGCTTATTCGAATTTCGAATTTTTTTCACTTCCGGTAGAAACTGACCAAGATGGCGGCCATTTTTAGTTTGACGACCCTGCCGGTAGGTGTTATACTTTAGCCGCGCAGCCGGGGTCCCACCTGATGCAATCCATTTTTCGCAGGTTTCGGATTTTTCTGGTATTCACTGGAACCATCCGACCACGACTCCCGTACATCATTTTTACCCACCGCGACTCCTTCTGGGAGAACAACTATCTAAATCACTGGGCCAGTCAGTCAGTGGTAATCGAGCTATATATACAATACTTTTGAAATATTTCTTTACCACCAATTGGCTCTTACCATCTTCTATCATATTTGTTTGAACGTGCTTCACCTATCTTCAATACTCGCCGAGATGTAGGCCTCGAAACACATTAGACGGTAGAAAATGT